TTTCAAATGACGAGGTAAAATACAAATGACGATATTTATATTGACGATATTTTATGAACTTGACAACGGGGTATCCAAGCGAAATACGTTGCTCTCGAGGGACTTCATTACATTTATTAGTAATGCGTGTGCAGTAATAAATATTTTTAATAATAAAATGCAACAGTGCTAAACGCACGCAGTCTTGTTCTTATGATCCCAATGCATGTTTTGTAGCAATAATGATAAATATTCCCTGTAAACATATGTTCTGCAGAAACGCGTTATCCTCTCATTAATTCGTTTATTTAAAAAATAAACTAACTTCGTCAGATGCGCAGGCGTCCTTCTTTCTCTCGCTGTGTTTTTAAAAGAAACATTTGTGTGAACATGAATAGTTTGTAAAGCGCTGACATGTTAACAATTCAGGGCATGTAAATTGGAGCTGTTACGCGATCACCGATTACTTAAATGCATGACTTTGAATGCGCTATCTATCATCTTCGAAGTTTTGCGTGTCTTAATTAAGTGCGGAGTTGCCGCGTTTCCGGAGCGCAGCGTCATAAATAAACTCGACAAAAAGTCAATCCGGAAACTCGCTAAAGCTCTAACGAACAGACGCAGGCAGACGCGACGCTCTACGCGGCGGCAACCAAATCATATTCAGTCGCAAAGACTTATCCTCTTATACCAGATACTAATTACAGTAATTGCATCATCATTACTACGACATTAGAGGCAACCGATAGTTATAGCAGCCCGTCACGCCTACTGATTCGGGCTCACAATAATATTCGTGTTACAGTCACGTGACAATTTACCATAAAGTGACAGTCGCGCACGTATTTTACTCGTCTCAGGTGGCCGACAACGGCAAGGGAAAAACTTGACGCCGACACCGCGGACGCTTACACATATCACGAACGAACACACGCAGCACCCTCGATATTATTATTATTAGTTTACTTCATGATGTGATATTTTAAACGAGCATAATTTCAGTTCGTGGCTCACAAAACCATAACTACAATTTTTACAAACACTTTTTAATCTGACATCAAATAATGCTCTTTCATGCTTCCTAAACTGTTATTTTAATTTGCCGGTTAGAATATTAACCCTTAACGAACAGGGGACATTAACTAAAACTATGCCCAGAAGATCGACGGATTTTTAAGAAATTAAGTGCTTCATTTCCAAAGCGAGAGAAGTTGCATAATTAATATCGCTTTATTGAACTTGGACAAAAATGGAATTTGTCTAATATTTCTTGTTGACCAATATTCAAATCTATTTTCTAACAGCATTGTGCTCATATTGAAAATTACAGAAAGAAAAGCCCAAAATTCTTCTTCGTACGTCATGTCGTGTGTATGGCGGCATCCGATTATTTTAGAATATTTACAATGTCGCGAGTATGGCGGCATTCGTTTGTTAAGGGTTAATGTTAATGTGACATAATTTACATGATCATGTCATATTATAATTATAATCGCAGATCCTTTATTGCAGCGACTTCTAAACTGTGGAGCGCGGAGGGCATGTAGCAGTTTACAAAATACTATTTACTAGTCCGTTAAATAAATAATAACATCAGTTAAGTATTTATGAAATTAGATTGCAAAAAAATTAAGCTTAGCAATTTTGAAAACAAAACGTGTAGGTGGGCGCAAAAGGTTAGAAACCACTGCCTTATTAGAAAAATTGAACAATTACAACAAAATCACTTAATCTGCAAAAACTGCGAATGCCTACTTCAAGAAAATCAACTATTTACAAGATAGGAGTGCCCAACCTCAAATCTTGTAGCACGTAGGCTACACACCAAGAGGCTTAAAGGATAAATCCCATGACATAGAATAAGGGGTGGAGAAACATACATCTTACCATTATTTCTCTTTAATACAAAATACTTTGTTTCTCATGTTCGAGACAAAATTGAATGCGATGGGGCGCTAAAAAATCGCGGAGGCTTCACCATCGTTTTATATAAACTATCATTGCATTAGGGCACATAGCATCACGTTTCTCTTCCCGCAAATAAGTCGATTTCCTTTATTATTTTTTCCGGAGTTTTATTTCGATCAGAATTATTTTTTTGGTAAAATCGACAGGATCAAACACGGCCTTAACCATGAGACCTAATTGAATGAAGATTTACAAAAAAATAAAGGTATATTTTGCTTAAGTAGAACAAGTACAAAAGACAAAGAAGCCATATTTAAACAGACGATTTATTGAAGTAAACAATGAAATTAATAATACATAATAATATACTCTACGCAATAATTGACGATTATTATTAATTATGTAGAAGCATAAGTATTGTAAATCATCGGGTCTGGATGTTAATTAGGTCAAACTTCACCACGACAAAGTGGAACTTATACTCTCATTAATAAAAAAGTAGGTTCGTGCTGGAAACAACATCATAAATAATCACACAGCGAATACATCTCACAGAAAATTTACTGGAAAATTTATTACTATTTCAATAACAAACAGAAGATTGATCTATAATAAATATTCGGTTTGAATTGAGATTGATTGAATTCCATCTCAAGGAAAAATTCATATTTAATAAATTCTTGTATAGTTTTTTTCCAAGGTAAATCTCATTTACAATCTCAAGGTACAAATCACTAATTAACGGAATTAACCAGTTAATTGTGGCGCGCTCATTGAACTATCAATGAAGGTAGAATTTTGAGGTATTATGCCATTTACTCTTATTTATTTTAGATTGGCATAGCCACAAAATATTCTAAAAATCTTGAAATTTGAGAATGTTTTTTTCGCAAAAATTGTAATTTGAATAGCCAGTAATCAAAGATTTATAAGGCACGACGAGTATTTTCCTCAACAACAAAATTCTGCACAATTCTCCACGACGAGTATACTCGTCATTCACTATACACTTTCATCTTCGAAAGTTATTTACATTTATAATTTTGAGTATGAAATTATGTAGTTTTTTATTACTTCAACACAAATATCCCCTGTACCTCTACGCTTGTAGTAATTTCATACGGTCTTCTTTTTCAGAAAATAAGGATATCAAGTTCTATTATTATATGAAATTCGATAAGATATCGTGTAGGCATACACCATTGTCCTTCGATAGCCATGCCCGACATAGCCGACTATATTCTACACCATGGGTGTCAAACTCGCGGCCCGCGGGCCGCATGCGGCCCACAGCAGATATTTTTGCGGCCCGGCTGCCCGCATATGTTGACAAATGATAATATGCAATAAATAACAATTCGATGAGGAAAAAAATGAAATATTAAACTGCTAAGTAATTAACAATTACTTTAAATAAATTAACAATAATTACAATTAATTAAATTAACAATAATTTATTGTTTACCAAATAGTTTATACCGCGTAAAGTTACTTAATATTTCGTAGTGTTGGATCTTATTGTCAGTAGCTTCTTCATCAGATGCGTATTTATCTATGGCCAGTAGTTACTGAATATTTCGTAATGATGCGTTTCAAATATGCGCCAACGCAACTATGAACGGCGTAACTAGCGGTTTCTAACATATAGTAAATCCTTGTTCTATGATGGAGTTGGCAACACTTGATCCGGATCTCTTTGGACACTGTCTCGGAATACAGTTGCAGAACGAATTACTGACTTAGCCGCCAATTTGAGTGATCAAATCAACAATAGATCACTTTCTTTCGAAAGCTTTTCTATTGCCTGTGACGAGACCATGGATATCAGTGGCACGGCTCAGCTAGCAATGTTTCTTCGTGCATTTGAAAATCTTTATCATACCCATTGAATTTTAGATCAAGAAGTACTGTGCTCGAAGATAATCAACATGATCTTGGTTAATATAACCAAACACCTATCTGACCTAAATTTATCATTGCAGGGAAAAGACAATTTTATAACAAACATGTTCGACATAATTCGAGCTTTTAAATGCAAACTTGTCCTTTGGGAAAAACAGCTCAAAAGTGAAAATTAGACACACTTTCCGACGTGCAGCATAAATAAATCAAGCTTGGATGTTACTTCTTCATATAAAAAATATGTAGAAAACAAAACAATGCAGTTTCAAGAATTTAGTTCACTCAAAGTTCAGATTTGAAAATACTAGGAAATATGCTTATGATATTATTTCTATGTTTGGCAGTACAAATCAATGCGAGCAATTATTTACAATTATAGAATATGTGCTTGATTGCAAAATGTTTTTTTTCAACAATTTTATCATTCCAACTTTATTACTCCTTTTCAGACTTAAATGAACATTTTTACTGAAGTCACTGTTTTTTTCAATTTCTACCCTTCATTTCGAGTCAACGATTTCGAATTTTGTAAATTTGCCAACAGATTCGTAATCAGCATATTTGAAAACTCTCAGAGTAAGAATTTGAGCATATAGCAGCATTTTTTCAGATAAAAATTTGGGTGGCCCACTTCTCCCTACATTTTCGAAAAACACGTTAAATACACTTTTTTGCCATTCAAAAAAAGAGATACTACCAAACATAATTGCAAGCATCTGCTATGATAAAATGTTGCATTTTGGAGTACCCTTACAACTACAAAAAACATTAAGAACATATTTTCATTTTAAACTATTTTACAATCAAAAATAAAAACGTGGCCCACTACTATACACTTCACTATACTTATTTCATTTACTCCATTTTAATGTTATTGTTTGTTTTAAAATTATGTATTATTATAGATATATTTATGTATTGAATGAATTAGTGTAGCCTTTGTTTCACTGAATGACGGTCTCCATGCAGATCGAAACGTATGGATTAATGAAGAAAGTTTCCTAATTGCTTTAGTTTTTTTAATTTAGTGCTACTGCCCGAATCAACAGACTCATTACAAAGAAATATCAATATGTATATATATATATATATATATATATATATATACTGCCCGATACTAAATAACTCATCAATATATTAGGGGGACCGGAAAGTAATGTCGTTTTCTTACGCTAAATTCAAACACATACATTTTTAACGAGTCTTTATTTTTAATCAATGATGTATTCCCCATCATTGTCAATAACCTTTTGCCATCCAGTGAGTAAATTTTTAATCCCTGATCGATAAAAATTAATTGGTTTTTCGGCAAAATATCTAGAGATGGCATTTTGGATGTCATCCAAATTTGCAAATGTTTTGCCACTTAAAAAGTGTTGCAGCGCTCGGAATAAGTGGAAATCCGATGGTGCAACATCGGGCGAATATGGTGGATGAGGCAGCACCTCCCACCCCAATTCATTAATTTTTTCTAGAGTTCGCTTTGCGCAGTGCGGTCTTGCATCGTCACGTTGGAGAATGACGCCTTTTCGGTTGACAATTGCTGCCCACTTTTCAATTAAAGATTGATTTACTCGCTGCAATTGTTCTCTGTAGAGGTCTGCAGTAACAGTTTGTCCAGGTTTCAGTAATTCAAAATGAACAATGCCGCGAATACTCCACCAAACACACAAAAGCGCTTTTTTGGGGTGTAAACCTGGCTTAGCAGTACTTCGAGGGTTTTCTTTTGGAGAGAGCCACTGCCTTTTGCGTTTTGGGTTATCATACAGGACCCATTTCTCATCTCCTGTGATCAAGCGATCAAAAAACGCTTCTGTGTTGTGTCGTTGAAGCAATAAGTTGCATGTGATTGATCGGTTAGCCTTATTCTGTTCGGACAGATTATGCGGGACCCAAACACCTGCTCTGCTTACTTTCCCAATCTGCTTCAAATGTTCTTGGATGGTCGACCAAGGTTGGTTGAGACTGTTCGACAATTCCTCGATCGTCTGACACGGATTTGCTTCCACTTCCGCCCTTAACACGTCGTTGTCTAACGCTGATGGTCTTCCTGATCGATACGAGTCGGAAAGATCAAAATTACCCGATTTGAACTTGGAAAACCACCTTTGGCATTTACGAATGTCCAGTGCATTTGGATAAACATCGCAAATGTTTTTAGTAGCAACTGTTGCGTTATTTCCCTTGCGAAACTCAAAGAGCATGCAATGCCGGATGTGTACCTCTTCTGGTATTTGGCTGCCATTTTACCCAAAATTACAAAAAAAAAATTGTAATTCAAATGTCTATAAGTAAAGAAATCACTTAACCTCACAATGTTTTTGGTATGCCTCTGAACCAAACAATGAGCTGACAAATGACAATCAAGTATTGGCATGCGCAGAAACGACATTACTTTCCGGTCCCCCTAATATCTATCTATATATATATATATATATATATATATATATATATATATATATAGTTTTTTTGCGGCCCGCTTGAAGTTAAACCTTGCTTATGCGGCCCGATTGCATCTTTGAGTTTGACATCCTTGTTCTACACCATTGAGAGGTGCCTATCCGATATCAAATAGTACTAAAAATAATATCAAAAAATGGCACATAAAAAGAAGAAACATTTTGTATGAAATTGAAAAATATCTGCGCAAATTCTGTACGGAATAAATTGGTAAAATATGTAATTGAAATAATACTGCACAAAATATATTAGAGATAAATAATATAATAAATATGAAGTTTACATTTTTATATCCACGACAAATCAATGAAGAAGGATGCAAATTGTGATGTGGTAAAACGAAAATGCAAGAATATATCAAAATCATTTTTGATGTATACTGAAAGATTGTATCGAACATTGAATTCTTTGCGTTCATTTTGTGGCGCTCCTTTTCAAAAGTCATGCATTGTGCAGTTATATGATGCATCTTCAATCGAAATATTGCAATAATGATAAAGCTCTAAAAGAAAAAAAATTAATAAGATGAATAATTAATTATTAGTTGTAGAGTAAAGCGGGGCTTAAAGATCCGAGGATATGAAGGTTCGCTACCATTAACTCAAAAAGCAAGTGAAGTATGGCATTTTTTAACAATACTATTTTAAAGTAGAGGATAAGAGATGCGTAATCAGCCATTGCCCTAATTCTTACGACGTCGCTACCAGGAGATAAATGGCTATATATCAATATTCATAACAAAATTTTTTTAACTTTGTGCTCTTTTATCAATTTCCCGTAGGGTAAGTTATAGTAATGGGCCGAAAATCGAAAATAAAAATTTTTGCATATCTTCATGTTTCACAGGTTTCTGAACATTTTGACGTTTTGTGTGTCCGCATTTTTTCGGCCACATTTTTGAGCGCACGGCTCAACCGATTTGAATGGTTCAAAAAACATTCGATTCTATTGATAGGGAGATGTGCCGATTAGTTTTTAGCAAAGGCAGGTCCAGCCGTTTCGAAGATACGAAGCAAAGAGTGCAGAAAATAGAAATCGAGTTTTTGAGAGAACGGAGCATCCGATTTAAATGATCCAAACAACATTCAATTTGTAATGACGAGGAGAAGTGGTGATTCATTGTTTGCAAAGGCAGGTTCAGCCATTTCGGAGATACCAAGCTAAATGTGCAAAAAATGGCGATTTTTGAGAGAAACTAAGCATCCTATTTGAATGATTCAAAAAACTTTCTGCTTGTGTTGACGAAACAATTGTTTTTGAGAAAAGTAAAAAAATCTTATTTTGATTATCGAAAATAATTCGGATTTTCAAAATTTTAATTCGGCACGGAAAGTTCCAGCAATTTATTTTATTATTATCATTAGATATATTTTATACATATTGTATCTCAGTCAGAGAAATATTCTGGTATGAGAGACCCCAACAATCTTAATAACAACAAAGTAGAATTTTGCATCTTTTTAACAATCCTAAATTAGGATTTATATCAATATCTTTGCTTGCATGAATATAAATGTACATAGAGACTCATATACATTTGATTGATGCGTGTTATGTGTTATGTCGTAGACAGAAAAATTACTGAAAGCCCAATTGGACCTTTGTGTCTAGCCCTACTCTAATGTTTTTATTGTTTGTATTTTTAAATTAACTTCTGAGTAATTACAAAATGTCCAAAAAGCTTATCCATTACAAACAATCTAACAAAAATATGAATAGTAAGAACATAAATTATCTATAAGAATAGAATCGATTCATTGGGATATCCCTCTATATACATACAAAGGGCGATATCTCAGCGGGTACTGCTCAGAAGAACGCGTTCGCCACATAACGATTTAAAAATTAGATACCTCATGGCTGAAAGAAGTTGTTTCCAGTCGTATTGAAGTTCTTTCATCCGCAGTTTATCTGTCGGCTGGATCTCTGAAGGATCGTACTGAATGACCCGGTCTCGTAGCTTCGTAGCCGTTCGGCCTTATCTCTCGCCTGACCGATACGCATTACATCGTATCCTATCTGCTCTCTATCATAAACTAGACTTTGTACGAAATGTATACACGTATAATAGATACATGTATACATATACTTGCAATTATACACATAAACATTTTCCAAAGTTTGGCTACTTTTCGTACATCATACTGTGTCGAAGTATATTCGTCAGTAGCCCCGCTTCGCCATATATCGTGTTTTAAAACCCTTTATGCATTCATTGTGTATTTGCATGGCACAATACCCACCGATCTGATAACATTCCATTTATAATGCGTGATTGATTTCTGTATGAAAGCTCTCTCTATCCATAGTTAAATATTATTCTATTTTTAGAATATAATGTAAATATATGAATATCCTCATAATAGGAAATTCGTTGCGTATGTGATCGCTTTTAGATATTTTTAATATGCCAATATTCTTTCATGCTGATATGATATAGCGGATAATTAAATATTTGATTTCATATATTTGATTAATATATCAATTGCCTGATATTTCATAAATTAAAATTGTGATATAGAAACCTTTATTCAGCATATTGTTTATTTTATTATTTTAAATTATTATTGGGCACGAAGGTTCAATTTGACTTTCAGTAATTATACTGTCTAAACTAAAAACCTACATCGTAACACGTAATACGTATCAAACAAACAACTATCGAACTATGTTCAGTAAAATTCCCAATTATAGAAAAATATTTGAATAATTGTATCCATATACACACACGCATCCATCCATTTTTCTCAGGTATGCCAAATGTTCAGAAACCTTCGAAACGTGAAGAAATGTAAAAAATTTCAATTTCGATTTTTGTACGATTACAATAACTTATCCTACAGAAAGTTAAAAATACGAACATAAAAACAATAGAGTGGGGGTAGCAAAAGATCCTATTGGGACAAAATTCCAAGTCAAAAATTTACGAACGAAAAAAAAAACTTTGTTATAAATATTGATACAAAACCGTTTATCTTTTGATAGCAAACGTCGCAATAAAAAAGGTGATGGCAGGTTACACAATGTTTTACCCTCTACTTTAAAAATAGTATTATTAAAAAATTACTTGACTTGTTTTTTGAGATAATGGTGGCGGACCTTTTACCCGCAGACCTTAAAGCCCCGCTCATTTTAGACGCATGGAAATAATATACTATTCATGCCCCCTAATAACTCTAATTTATATACATGTATGTATTACTATAAACAAATAATTATGTCATTACCCCTCGATAAGTTTCCATAACATCTACGAAAACAAAATATCTCTCGGTTACTGTATT